AAGAGCACTAAGAAGGGTTTGAACCGAAACAATGTTGGCATGTGAGAAAATCATGATAGCATCAGCAAATGAGAGGTGAGTGGTGGCCAATTTACTACATCTCCAATGAAATTTAAATCCAGGATTAAAACCAATGTGGTATGAAAATGACTATGACAATACTTCCATTGCCAAAACAAAGAGTAAAGGGGATATTGGATCCCCTTGTCTGACCCCTCTCTTCCCTTTAAAGAACCCAAATAGCTCACTATCGAGGGAAATAGAGTAAGATGGAGTGGTAATACATTGGGTGATCCATTCCACAAACTGCTGAGGGAAGCCAAAAACTATGAGAAGATCAATTATAAACTGCCAGTGGAATGTATCGAATGCCTTCTTGATATCTATTTTAAGAGTGCAATTTGGTGGGTGCCTTGCCTTATGGTTGCCATTCAACAGCTCATGGGCCAACACAATATTATCAGAAATGTGTCTCCCCTTAATAAATGCATTCTGGGATGGACATATCAGCAATGGAAGAATGAGGGAGAGCTTATTTGCCAAAAGTTTAGAGATGGTTTTGTATATCAGATTACAACAGGAAATAGGCCTAAAATCATTCACTGTGGTTGGATTGCGTTTTTTAGGGACTAGAGTAATATAAGAGCAATTGATTTCCTTGAGTATTTTCCCTATGATAAAGAAATCTTTGATGGCTGAGATAACATCCTGCCCTATAATTAGCCAAGAGTGAGAGAAAAAGCTTGAGTTAAATCCATCTGGACCAGGACTTTTATAGGGATGGAATGAGAGAATACAGGATTGGATTTCCATATCAGTGGGGATGGTAGTGAGGGAGGTAAGGAGGTGAGCAGGTACAGTTTTAGTTTTAAGGTTAGAGAAGGAGGAAATACCTGTGTAATGGGTGTAGTTGTGTCCAATAATAGACTGGAAGTGGTTAAGAATTTCATTCTGTAGATCCTTACCATGCACCTGATCACCATTTTGGGTAACAAGGGACATAACCTTTCTTCTATTGGCCTTTGAAGTGAAACTCCTCATGAAGTATGCAATGTTGTGGTCACCCTCCCTGAGCCAGTACACCTTAGACTTTTGCTTGTAAAACATTTCCTCAGCAAGGCATAGATCAGACAGATTTTGAGCTTGTTCCTTCTCATTCAATCTTAGGAGGTCATCTGAAGGATTTTTATCCAGGTTTAGTTGGCATTGTGAGAGTTCATCCCTGCATGCTGCAACCCTCGAGGAAATAGCACTGAACCTATTCTCGTTGAGCTATTTCAGAGGCTGTTTGAGGGCTCTAAGTTTCTGAACCAGTGAATACATTCTAGAACCATGCATTTCCATCTCCCAAGTGTGAGCAACCAGTGGTAGGAAGTTAGAACTGAGGGCCCAATTAAAAGTTAAAAAATCTAAATGGTATGTTTCTTTTGGGAGCAAAGAAGCCAAGTGTCACCACCATTGCTGAGTGATCAGAGATGCCTTGGGGTAGAAATGAGCAAGATGCTTGTGGAAAAGAAGACATCCATGAATGATTGACTAGTACCCTGTCTAATTTTTTAGAAATGTTTGCACAGCCCAAACTTTGATTAGGCCAGGTGTGTAAGATGCCAGTGTATCTCATATCTTCAAGACCATTTTGAGACAAGAATTCTTTGAACTCAAACATACTATTTGTCCATCTGAGAGCTCCCCCAAATGACTCATTCACATGAAAGAGTACATTGAAATCTCCCATCAATATCCAAGGCTCATTAGAGAGGCAATGCTGACTGAGAAACCTCCATAAAACCCCCTATCCACTGCAGTGTTAGCAGCATATATAAAAGAGGCCAAACATCTAACCCTTGAGTCAATAAGTAACACTGAACAGTTGAGAGCTTGACTACATTCAGAGATAGCCAGCAATGTAATCAAAGCAGGATTCCATAAGAGCCACACTCTACCCAAGACTGAAGATTGATAATTGCACCTAATGTGCCATGAGGGAGCAATATTCCTATGTACTGATTCAATATTTGAGCTACAAACTTCAGTTTCTAGAACAGCAATCAAGCAAAGATTAGAATCTCTAATCAAATTCTTTACCTCAACCTGTTTGAGGGAGAGTTCAATCCCCTTATATTCCAAGCAGCCCAAATCATTGAGAAGATGAGGATGATAAACTGCACAATCCTCTAAACCCCTTAAGAGTTGAGACTTGATTCTTCTTCTTTGATCTTAAGTTTTTCTTCGAGTGCTTAGAGTGCACTGGCTTCCTTGGCTTTATGTCCTGAATCTTCTCCATGAGAGGAGTATAAGATGGATCATTACAGGAGGATAGGGTATCATCATCTGAGCTTGATGCCAATTCAACTGAATACTCATTGTTCCCTTCAGTAGGCAATCCATCAAACATGTTGGAAATTGAAATTGAAGCTGGAGCTGAAAGGAGGCCTGGTTGGGACCTCATATAGGGGTACAAATCAATAATGAAATTAATAGCTTTCACGTTCTCACTTTGCACTGTGGGTAAGGGTGTGAGGGGGGCACCATTAGAAACATCCTCCCTATTGCAACATTCAACTTGGGAACCAAATACAACACCATCAGATGGTGGCATAGCATCAGTCCTCTGCAAACATCTAGAGGATGAAGCATCATTTGAATTAAGGGAAGGTGCTGTGAAAGGATTAGGAATGCTGTGGCAGACAGAACTTTTGTTCCTCCTAGTCACCAATTGCCAATTCTGAGAATCATTTTGAGGAGCCGGAATATTGTGTTTCTTAGTGGCTTGTGAGCAATTATAGGTGGAGTGACCAAATATAAAGCATGTTTTACATCTCTGAGGCTTCCATGGGTAGTGAGCTTTAATTCTAAGCAACTTGTTACCTTTGGTACGCACCAAAAAGGAATTTGGCAAAGATGAGCTTGGGTTAATCTCAATACAGACTTTAGCATAATCGATCCTGCTCCTATCTTGAGTTCTGGCATCTGCATACTTAGGTCTACCAATTGCACTTGCTACATAGCTAAGTCCTTTTGGAGACCAAAGGGACGGGTACTTTGTATAACTTAACCCAAAGTGAAAGTGTGGAGGGAGCTTCAGGGATTTCCGGGGTATCTAACTGCCAAGGGGATAAGGATATGGGTTTACCTGCCAAAAACCATTGACCTCCTGCCAACACCCTTTTGCAGCTATCCTCACAGTCAAATCTGAAGTAAAACCAGCCTTCAGAATTCACAATTACGTTCTGTAAACCCTTATCTTCCCAAAGCTTATAAGCTGCAGAGGAAACATCCTTGAATGGCATTCTCCTTGTAAACTTCCCCACAAGGCATTTCTTCCAAAACAGTGCTCCAATGTGTTCAACCTCTTCTGGTGGATCAACAATAATGGTATTGTCCACAGTGGAAGGCTCAAAAAATTCAAAGTTCCTGCCAGAGCATGGTGATTGAGCAACTGAGGACCAAGTTTTATGCATCCTATCAACTGCGGGTGAGTCAGTGTTCATAGATGGAGGAGGAGGATGAGTGGTGGTGTTCTCTGTGGTTGGTTGAGTGCCAATGTGCTGGTCCATGAGAGATGAAAAGCAATCTTGTTGGAAAGTAACTGAATGATGTTCAGGATTGATATTACCTCTGTTTCGTAATGCAGTTTTTTTTGGGCTACTTGCTCTAGTCTTGCTTTTGCAAGTTTTGGCCAATGGGCCATCTTGTATCTTGGCCCAAAATGGGTACAGTTTCCCTTTTATATATATATATATATATATATATATATATATATATATATATATTCTAAACTTACCTTTAAAAAATAAAAATACCTCAGTTTTATTGGTTGGTAGATGCCACTCATACACTTAGGGGTGTATAAAAAAGCTGTGGAACCGGAGAACCGAACTGAACCAGGGATTCGGTTCTGGTTTCAAAAATATGAAACTGTTAGATAACGGTTCGGTTCCAGTTCAGTTCTATGTTTTGCCTTCTAATTAGTTTGAAATTATATATAATTAGAACTGTGGAACCAAACCAGACTGTAATTTTCGGTTTGGTTTGGTTCCATGTTCCAACAGTCCGGTTCCAATTCCAATTTTAAGGAACCGTTTGGAACGGCTCCAGTTCCTGACGGAATTATATCGAACCGCACCGTGTGCAGCCCTACATACATCTACTCGCACGCATTTTTGCCCACACTCGGATTCCAACCGCACCCCTCCATACATGTAATTTATTGAAGTTGCATATATGCTGCAATGGGGTTTCAATTCTCATCCAATGACTCCGATATTGATAGGCTTAAAGATAGTCAGATCCATGATATAAATAAAATTCTGGGATTTTACGGAAGAACCTACAATTGACCTAGGAGGTTGGTTGTTTTTAAAAAATGATAACTGAGAGAACAAAAACAATTTAAAGATAAGGTGCTTTAAATTGAAATGGACATCCCTGAAAATACCTACATATAAAGATATAAAACAATAATTGAAATATCATTTCATTTTTCTTTATGAGTCCCAACAAAATAAAATTAAACTAACTTAAAAATTCCCAATCTTCTCTTTATAAAGAAATAGAGACCTCACTGGAAAAGGCCTCACTAGAAAAACTCATGCTATAAATTGAACATTATTACCACAAATATCTGTCCACTTTGAGAGAAAAAACACACACACACACACAATGATGACAATCAGATAGAGCTGGGATTTACCTGCTGTTGGAATAGTACCTACTCGAGAATCCAAAACAAAATCATATGAAAACTCGCGTCACTGAGTCGCACTCTTCGCAATTTTATAATTCACAGAATCGAAAACGAAATCATATGAAAGCTAAAAAAGTTCTCCTCATTCACATCAACTTAATTCTTCTTCTTCAAAAGGAGCAGTGTAGCAAAGAAAACACCACCCTCAAGCATGACCACTCAAAACAATTTCAACATCCATGCAGATAACAAAACAATGTCATACATGAGATATCACCTCTGCCATCACGAAGGAATCGGGAAGAGTAGCCCATGAAACATAAACCAGCCAGCTATTGCAAACCATTTTATTAAAAATGTTGTATATAAAACCCAATATAAGACTGGACTTAGCCTTTTCGATTCCTATAGATGATTGATCAATAAGGTGCAATTACAGAAGTTATACTCAGCAAACAGAATGACCAAAATAAAGGCGGAAACTGCTACCTCAACTCTGAACAAAACCATTTCTGTGAGTAATAGCACACACATCTAATATGACTGCGAACATGTCATCTATGGTGAAAACAACTAAATACTAGAAAATATGTGGATATTTTTCTCCTCTCTCTCTCTCTCCTTTTCTTCTATTTAATCACCTCAGCCAACATAAGGATGATCGATGAAGGCCCATTCAAACACTTGCTCGTATTGAACTGCAGCACCGTCCCATGTGTACTCCCGCTCCATTCCTCTCTTCATCAAACCCTCCCAGGAAGATTTATGTTCTCTGTACGTCTTAACAGCAGTTCTTAGTGCCTGTCAATAATCACCAATTTAGAGTTAAAAATATAATGAGCAAGAGAAGGACAAAATTTATAAAAAAGTATCAATCTATAGGTGTTCACACAAGGGGGACTTTGCTTAAGAGGTTGGGAGTTCGAATTCACCTGAGGCACCGCAAGGAATTTCTTGGTAATTGCTTGGTGCATGTGGAACCGGAGACTGGATTATACATTATGTTATTGACTGGAAGAAATTTATGTTAAGAAAATTCTTTCATAGAAATAATCATCAGGTTGGCTTTAACATTATGTTATTGACTGGACAGATCAATCTGTCGAGCCTATATACATTGTTGTGCTCATTCCTTAATAGCTTAAGCTTTTTGAAAACTGGTGTTCTAAAATACAGCGAAGCCTCGAATCTGAGAGGTCTTAGGTTCAAATCTTTCTTTCTGCATCTGTAAATAATACTGTGTCAACTCTCCACATGCAGGACAGAGTCACACAGGGTTAACGGTGGAGACTGTGGCATAAGAAGGCTCCATAAATTATTCTTTTATCACCCACCAAAGAAAGGAATATCATACCATTCAGCCACAGCGGGAGTTCAGTAAAATTATTAATTTTGCAAGTATGACCACGTAGTCAACTTTGCAACCCATAAACCCCCAAAATCATGATAATCATATTCATAATCACAAATAAGAACTTGCTTCCGAAAGAAAAATAAAGTACGAGGACACATAGATCAATTTTGAGAAAAATTTGAGACCTAGACAGTACACAATAGTTTTTCCTTAAATTAAAGTCAACATCGTTGAGGGTCTTGCGAAATTATATAGAGCTTGGGAGGTAATGCTTGCACAAGAAATTAACATACCGCCAACATACTTTCTCTTGCTAGAGGAGAAAATGTCCACCTGTACAGTCCACAACAACATTATGAGAACAAGAGCTTGAAAGGCACAAACAATAGAAAAAGAAAAGAGAAAATAAATTTCAACAATCAATTAATGGTTTAAGATCATAACAAAATTTCTCGAATTTTCAACAATCAAGAGAAGCATTTCCATTGCCCTCAGGGCAGAATACACATCTTGTATTTATTAGATTTGAATTTTCCAACCTCCTCAAATTCTAACATCTTTTTGCCTTTATTGAAGATTTAATGGAGGAATCAGTGTGTTTCCTATTATTGAAGATTTGGTGTTACTAGAGGAATCAATGGAGAAAAATCCTCCTTATTTCCTATTTTCTAATTCTTTCCATTCTCATAATTTCTTCTCCTATATAAAGGAGTCTCCACCATTGTATTGTATATGAGTTGAGAGATTATAATTAAAGTGATGTAGTCCTTTGGGCTCTTTGTGCCGTGGATGTAGGCCTTAGTGGCTGAACCAAGTAATATCTGTGTGTTCTACTTGTTTTATTTATCTCTTCGCTTCCGTTTTATGCTTTACAGCAGTCTTACACGAGTTCTTCCAAAAAACAAGTTGCTAAATCTTAGGCTATGAAATTAGTCAGTCTTTAACTTTATCCTATAAGCAGCAACAAAAATATCTTCCAGGAAGTGGCTTATTTCTATGCCTCCAACCTGAGGCACTTGAACTAGACAAGTGATACATGCTTGGAGGTCCACCCAACACTAGATTGGTGCCACTGCCGTAAAGGAGTTGTTCTTAAATTTTCTATCAACAAAAATATGTCCGTAAGAATCGTCAAAGGCCACATGTTGAAGGATAACTGGATAAATACATACCCGGTACCTTCACCACAGCCTTCTTGAGCATATGGATTAAAAACCTCCACTGTATCCTGAAAAAAAGAAAGAGGTAAAGGCACTTAAACTGTGCGTTCATTTATAGAACATCAGTTTTCACAATCATGAAAGTTAACTCACTCTAAGTCCTCCAGTGCTGTGAACTACTGGAACAGTTCCATATCTCATTGCATACAACTGGTTTAGACCACAAGGTTCAAATCTTGAAGGCATCAATAATATGTCACAGCTGCAAATTTTGAAATATCAGTAAGCTTCATAAGTAAGTATTTATTGGAACGCTCTTAAGTATGAAAATCTAAATCCTTGAATTACCCTGCTGTTATTTTATGAGATATAGGCACATTAAATCCAACCCAACCACGGAACTTGTCTTTATAAAATGACTCGGATGCTCTCATCCAGTCTTCACATTGCTTGTCCCCGGACCCAAGCATAACCTGAAACAGATTACTTGCAATCAATTATATTCACGAAAAGATAATATTAAAAATCCTGACAAACACATTGCCATGGAGAGACCACCCAAAGAGAACTGCAACTTAATCCTCATTGGAGACTAGAGATCAACTTGTACATATTCATGCAAACATATATATGTGAATACATATATTAATGCATCTAATTGTCTCCTCACTGAGGTTTCACCCTTGCACTTTATAATTGTCCTTACTGAAGAAAGATAATTCAATTTAGATATGTTCTACAAAATATTAAACGGGACCAGTATCACGATAGCTTATATATATGAGCATGTCAATGAAATGTGACTGCTAACCTTCAGTGGAATAAGTGTCAATGACCAACTCAAGAAGCCTTATGTAAAGACAAAACATAAAGGAATATATAAACTTGAACTTCCAAAGAAGAAAGATCTTTAACTACATCAGTGGTATTTACTCTCTGTTGAAGTTGCTTCTAACCACACCCCCGAACGAAATAAAATAATAGAATTATTTTAAAGAAAATAACTTACAAATTGGACATCATCTTGCATAAGATCTGGAATGGCCAACATAATTACATCAATACCTTTCTGGTAGTCCAGTCTCCCAATAAATCCAATCTATAAAAAATTATACCAAAATCAGTAATAGAAGAAAGGTGCAATATCATGCCATTCCAGTGTTAGGGATTAACTCTCACCATTGGACAATCAGGCCTAACGGGAAGACCCAATTCCTTTTGCAAATCGGTCTTGCACTGAACCTGCATTTTAAGTGAACTAAGGAACTGTTTTTTCAATAAAAAGAAAGAATAAAAGTATAACTTATTCTAGAAAGAGGAGGCATGAAAACCTTTCCAGAGAGGTCATGAGTGGAGTAATGGGAAACAATATGCTCATCCGTAGATGGGTCCCACTCAGTAACATCAATGCCATTTGTGATCCCTGTTCATAACAACGTTGGAATAGTTTCAGAATTAATACCATGTATTGGTTCACAGAAACGTGTACAAGTGTGAAATATGGCATGATATAATTTGTGACAGCCTTGAAAACACCCCAGTGATAAGTTGATAACCATGTGAATCATAAGTGCCAAACATGTGCAGAATCAAAATTTGTTGTTAATTTCAGAAACCAAAAGGAATGAGAAAAATGCTTAATTCTCTTTGGAAAGTAAAGAATTACACAATGGAGACAATTTCCCATCGCAATTGTACTGAGAAGACTTCCAGTTGGAGCCTCTCTAACCCTTTGCATGTGGGTTCCTTTTTTCCCCCCTCTTGATTAGTTTAAAGTCATAATTCAGATTCACATCAACTAGTGTGAGCTAAAATAATGTTGATGTATGATACCACCCATATTCAACTTGGAAAAGCAACCAAGATGTTATAATGGTTTCTTAAATTTTGAGACCTGGATACTATGGCACAAAAAGAGAGCCCCGTAGAGTTGTTGGTTAGGTCGCAGGGGGAGGTATCCCTTTATCTGAAGAAGTGCTGGTGTATTATAGTCCATGTTACATGGACTCGAGTACGTGTCGAGTATGGATATGTATCCACACGTCGGACATGTCAAATTCCAATCAGAAGGACACATGGACACTGTAAAGTAATGTTTCTATGTAATATAATACAGTGACCAGAATAGACATTTCACTCATTTGAAGTAATAATATATATAAAAAAGAAAAGAAGATATTATTAGATATATTTTTTAGGTGTGTGTCCAACCAAAAGTGTCAGACACATATCCCATACCCTTGTCCGAATAATATGTGTCGGCTATGGGTACTTCACCTACTACGGAAGGGCCCATGTAACATAGATTCTAGTAAATAACAGTGGCAGCCAAAAGAGAAGCCTAGTCTAGTAGTGTTATTCGAGGACCATATAGGATTCAAAGGTCTGAACGAGTGTTCACATGTGGTGTTTGGTCTGGGAATGGAAGTGAGGATTAGTCCAAGGGTCCAGTTGTGAAAGGATGAATTTATGAGAATGGCTGCAATGATAAAAAAATCAATCAGCAGAAAGGTTAAATGTTTCCATTGTCACGAAAAAGAAAATGAGGAGGATTGTCAACTCTGCAAAGGTAAAATGAAGAAGAAAGAACTATCTGTTACTATGAGTTCCATAGAGGAAGAAAGCAATAAAAGCTCTAATGATGAGTTATCCTCTCTGCAACTATTGGTCTCTCAGACAGGAAGTGGATTCTTTATTAAGTTACTCCTTGATTATATGTCCCATAAAATATTGTTCAACACATGAGAATGGGGCTAAGGAATCCATGAGTAGGAAACTCTTGGAGAGGGCATGATAGCTGATCTCAAATGCAGCCCCACAAAAAGCTTTTGGATAGAAGCAGTTAATATGACCTGTTACTTGTTGAAAAATCCCCCAGCAATTGCTATCTAGCATAGGACTCCGAAGGGTAAAGCCTATTCTGCTAATTAGTTTAAGTTATGCACATTTGATTTTCTGTTTATAATCCTGTAAAATGATGATAATCTTAATCTGAGCACAAGGAAGTGCGCATTCCTAGGGCATGCAGATTGGGATGAAGGGATATAGATTGTTGTGGCCTGATCCTGAGAAACCAAAAAAAGAAATTATAACCAAAAGCATGACCTTCAATTAGTTTATTATGTTGAATCCGGGGACCACGTTGTAAAGAGGATAGGTGTAGCTTGATTATGAAGCTTCAGTAGAAAACAGCTATAGAGAAATTCCTATTAATTGGTACACAACAAAATGTAAAATGAGGAAGAGTTGCAGGATCCTAGTGATGAAGACGCACGTCCCCGGAACAGTGGTACATTATCACAACTGGGGAAGAACAGAGGCAGATTAAGCCACCCTATGAAGATACCTACCTTGATACAATTGCTCGAGAATTGTCTATGGCGGAGAGTATTGAGGGAAGAGATCATTACATGTACAACAAGCCAAGTAATTATATATATGTATTTATGGCTGGGAATATTGTTTTAGAAGCAATTATGGTTGTTGTGAATAGCATAGCTTTTGATATTAAAATGGGTACTTGATGCTAAATGTTAATGACAAAAACATGTCTTAGCTAGCGCTGACAAGTGCGAGGACAAATGTTTTGAGCCTAAGAGTAGTCACATGGAAAATATAATGTCAAATACTAGATTTATCTCCAGTCTTATCCTCCCAACACCATGCATACGCGGACTAGCTCATGGCACTAGCCTATTTCAACTCAGTGGTGAAGTTGAATTGAAAGATTTGGGTGCAACTAGAAAGATGTTGGCTGTGGAAATTTACAGAGGTCAACAGGAAGGCAAATTTTGCTTGTGCCACAAGAACTACAATGAATAAGTGCTAAAAGATTTTAGAATGTTCAAGAATAAGCATATGAGTAATCATCTTGTTGCGCACTTCAGACTTTTAGCAGCCATTCATTATAGACTAAAGAGGAGGTGGAGCACATGGTCCACATGTCTCTATTCCTGCACTCGAGGAATTTAATTGGTGATTGCAGTAATTGAAGTCCGTCTCATGGCTTTTACAGAAAAGGCAAAGGAAGGGTTTATATTCGTAATGCTTGATAGAATTTAAGAAAAGATGGAGATTTTCCAAAATGGTTGCTTGAATTACTAGACTTTGATACCAGTGACAGGAAGAGAAAACCTGTACAAGGTAAGGAGATCCATACAATTGTTAATTTGGTCAGATGAGGCAGTAACCGTACCTAGGACAGTGCTGATGTACTTTTTGAAGAACACTGGTGGAAGAGAAGCCCGATACAAGGGTTTAAAGGTGTTCAAAGGTCAGTGCAGGTTCTGAGATTTGTGCATGGGGTTTTTGGCAGTGAATATTCAGAATGAGCTTGTGAGAACTCACTTTGCTGCATTAAAGGATTATAGCATCTTATAATCTTCGTCATCCTTGATTGTCATCACCCATAGATACAGACTTGAGCTGAACCACATAAATTGTAGCATAATTTGTGTGTTTTATTTGTTTGCATCTTTGTTTTTTCCATTTAAAACCCTAATATTTGTTATATTTTAACTAATTCATGTCAAATGCAAACAAAATGGTATCAGAGCTATCGCCACTGCCAAAATATGACACACATAAAAATAACAGCTGAATAAAGAACCTTACATTATGCTAAAACGATTATGCTAATGGAGTGAGCAATGCAACTATAATGTATTATAAAGGGCTCAACATGAAATCTTTTCTTATAAATGGTCAAACAGTTCTAAGAGTCACTAAGAAAGTAGTTAAGATTGGAGGAAACATATTTTTGATTCATGAGATTGGTGATGCTTCAGTGGTTCAAATTACTAAAAAAGGTGAACCATTAATTATTGATGAAAACAATTCAACCACAATATTGAACATAAATGTATAATCTGACAATATTCCCACCATTTCAATCATATTCTGAAATTAAGTTAAAAAATTAATAATAAAAAAAATAAAAAAATAAAAACTTGGTTGGATACGAGAAATTGAGAACATCCTTTCAGTTTCATTAGTATAATCCTCTCTCAACTATCCATTATTCTAATCCAACAAGGTACCTGATGAATGTTAATGGTACAGATGTAGTATTTAAACACGTACCATTGATCACGCTCTTTCGACTACTCAATAGCTCATTCAGACCATATCCACCTTCAACGGTTGTTATTTCCCAAGAATAACCCTGCCAGCAGAAGATAGACTTTCAACTTGAATTGTATTAGAAACTGATGAAATATGAGGTACATGTCTGGTACAAACAATGTCAACATTGACAACATGGCAGCACATGTGGCTCATGTGTACCCTCTTTCTCTCTCTTCTGGACTTAGAGTATCCCACAAGGGAGGTAAAAAGTCGTACTCATGAAATAGCCAGGACTGCTGCCAATTCATTACAAGATCCTCCTTGAATGATTACCAGACAATGCCACATAATGCATCAATGAGTTCAAAAAGGAACAGGATGTGTAAAATTTATGACCTTACTAACTGTCAGTATTCGATCAGCTGTCACAATCGCACCTTTCAAAACATTGACTGCTTCACCAGTGTCAAGGGCATGAGTCCTGGCCCACGTGGGAAATACCCATTCCACCGCTCCATACCACTCAAGAGGCAGTCCCAAATTTTTGTAAGTCACAGCTGGCTCCACTCCCTTGCATACACATGAACAATAGTGTCCTAGAATGTTATTGCACTTTGGCTTCTTAAAAATCTAATCTGAGACACAAGGCAGCTAGTACTAGTAGAATTGCCAAAGAGATCCCTGACGTGAAGCCCTTCCTCATGCATGTAATGATATCTTCCAAGCCTACTAGTATCAGAGGTGTTATTATGATGCATATGACCATACGAGTACACTTGATAGTTTGCTCAAACAAGGCTATAATATTCCAACACATACACTTGAATGTCTGTTCGCTATGATTAAAAAATCTCCTATATGCTTCAGATATGCAAAAGTTGATCTATGATTTCAGTTTTACCACAATGCTCAGACTCTTTGTTATTCCTTGAGATATTTATTTAGTTTGGAGAACAGTACAAGTAGCAAGGAAAATTTTATACTACATAAAATCATCTTTTTAGTAGTGAATAGTAATAGTAGCAGTTCCAAAAATATTTCCTACTTATTTGCTTTCTTAACAATTTCCATCATGTAATTAATATTAAACTAAAGTGTCTACCTGATGTGCAAGGTTATGTATTACAAGGATACTTCGAGCATCCTTATAAACTCCATATGGACGATACTTGGATGCCAAAAGTCTGAAACAAAAAAATGTCGATATCAATACTCACATCATCGCTGCCAATTTTATGAAATAAGGCTTTATGAAAATCCTCAAAAAGGCTCATATATTCTAAAAAAGATCTCTAACTCAAGTAAAAAAGAATCTACAGTAAATAAATAAGAATCTGCTGGACCCAGGAGAACAGGGAATGGCTTAAAGCCATTGTTTATGAATGGCCTTAACAGGATAAGTTTTTCTATCATGAAACATCTAGGAGTGACCTAAGATAGCAAACCATAAATTTGACTAATAAAATCTCATACAAGAATTCACTAGATCAGCTATGACTTCCTGTTTTCTTTGGAACTACTACTCTCGCTTGTGGGTTGGGGGGGGGGGGGGGGGGGGGTTTGGGGTATATTTTAGCTGAAAATAAGAGGAAAATACTCCAATCATATAATAGAGAAAGACTGATAAGTGTAAAGCAATAGGTTCATAATATAAAAACATCAGCTATGAAACAGGGTCTTCCTGTTTTCTTTGGAACTACAACTCTTGTGGGGGGGGACCAAAGATATTTTAGCTGAAAATAAGAGAAAAACACTCAGATCATAATAGAGAAAGACTGATAAGTTAAAGCAATAGGCTCACAATATAAAATCATAGACCATGAGTTTTGGAGATCTTGGAAAGCAAGCATATGGAGGGAAATATAGAAAAAGGAAATAGGGTACAAAGAAACATATAAACAGACCATCAAGTGATTGACTAATTAGCTAATAAATCACTTACACTGGCACAAGGCCTGCATGCCAATCATTAACTAGGAACAAACACTTCTCTCCATAAGTGAACCCTCCTAATGGAAGCACCAAGGGTGCTTCACACGCTGCGTGACAAAGTAAAGTGAACCGAAACTGCGTAAACAAAAAAGAAGAAAGAAAAAATAAAAAGTAAAGAAAAACTTGTCATTCTTAATAAATAAAGCATAAAATTTAATTCCACTTCAGAACAATTACAAGAATCATACCTGATTATCACCGAACGCACCAAAAATATCACCATATGGATTTCCAGGTCTTTGGTATGAAGGATGATCCACAAATACCTAAAAGTAGGAGAAAGGACATATCTCCATAACAAAACTTATACTCTACAGAATTACTAAAATGCAGTAGAGAAATTAAAGAGTGCTTTTTTCTTTCGTGGTAGATAAGAGAAATTACAGAGTGATTGTTTATATTATCCTCACAAATAGCACTTTAAGATGCGTTATTGTGATGAGACATAAAAGAAAGAACTGGAAAAATAAATAAATATCCATGTATTAGTGACTAAGCAGTGTGCGAAGTTTTTTACCCAATCAACACCTGCCCTATACTCATGGTAGAAAGAAACCTCCTGTTCTCCTTCAAAGCAAAATATCTTGATGCAACACTCAAGATCCGATGCACCGGCATAATTTTTATCTGAAGGACCACCATGCAAATATCTAGGAGAAACAACCATGACACGATGTCCACGGGCAGCCAGTGCTATAGGCAAAGAACCACAAACATCTCCTAAGCCTCCTGTCTTGGAATATGGTGCTGCTTCAGCAGTAACAAATACAATATTATGTGTTACTCTGGTAGGGATTTCCTCATCGCTTCCAACATCCTCAGTCACTTCTTCTCTATCAGCAGCTAGGGCACCATTAGTGTCAATGACACTAGTGTGACCTGTACTTAAGTTAAAATATTTGTCATTAATGCTTGAATATATTCGTCAGCACAACAAAAATATCACACTGACAAATGTGCGTGTGCGTGTGTTTTAGTTTTGGGTTGGGGGGGGGGGTTCAGGTGAGGATTGTCAAAATTTGGCATTAACTTCACCTTGGCATTGTTACAGAAAGAATTTGTCACGATAATGCAATTGAAAGACAAGGACATATTTAGCAGAAGCAAAGACTGAATCCAGATGTTGCGGCTCAAATTAGTCAGGATCATACAACTACGAAAAATTATAACGAAATAATTTAACACACTTTAGAACTGCAGTAGGTCCACAATCACTTTAAGAACTCTATGAAACACACTGTCAATCCCTATGACTCAATTAGTAAATTGTGTGTCACAGAATCGAGTATCTCAAGATCGTAACCTTAATGGAGAGAGTTGAGAAAAACAGGATATCATTGGTGGAATGACATGCACATTGATTTGTACAACCCAAAAGCAAGGCCACCCAAAGCACATGTTTATAGCCCTCCAGATACACAGGGAAGATAGTAGCCCAACCATGAAAAATGTACAGCTTTAAAACAATCAGAATCAAACCATTCTAATTGTCACCTGGTACCAAATGAGATACCACACAAAATTTACAGGATCTTCGTTCTGATAATAACCTAACAGTCAAGAGTCAAGACCCATCTAAACGCCAACCATACCCTCAAAACCCATTGATTCGGAAAAAATGATGACCTACAAAGTGGAATTTTCCATTAAAGATCCATCCATGGAGAGTTAAGATTATCCAAGAGGACCAAACCATGTGATAAACCAAAATTTTATAATTACGGTCTTATCAATAAGAATCTCAAAAAATCAATAATATTTGAAGAGGCGATCCTACTCTGTTAAGAAGCCAAACTTTATCTATTACTAATCAAAGTAATAATAAATGTAGTAAATCATCTCACTATCATAAACTTACTACCACTTGCTTATTCACTCTAATTAAAGCATCAATAATATTATAAAAGCAATAAAATATAATAATTATCCTCAAAAAAGCCTAATGGTGTGACTCAATTATATTTGTTTGCAGTTTATATATAGATGCACAAACTCAGATTCCCTGAAATCATTAAAAATTAATTTGGAAATCAAAAGAAACACAAAACAGCATAAACTACATGATTCAAAGCTTTAGAAATGTAAAAAACAAAAATAATAAAAAAAATTTTTAAAAAAAAAACTGTGGGATATGATGATACCAGATTGAGGAATCAAGTGAAACCCAACAACAGAACCAGTGACATCTCTCTCTGTGCCCAACATGAGGCCTTTCTTCTTATCATTTTCTTTCAAAGTTGAAGGCCCATCTTGAGAAGAAGTCTGAATCCCACCATTGTTCCTATCTTTAACTGATCTTCTGAGTGACAGAGAGCGAGTTTGATTTCTTCTGTTTTGTGTCCACACAGAAACGATATTTTCTGTTCTGATCACACCCAAATTTGGGGAAGTCTCTGTTCGAATCAGAGCCGATTTGCAAGAAACTACACGAAATGTTTGCAGTGTCTCCATGGGAGAGAAAGAGGAGAGAGAGAAGGGGGATATAGAATAGAACCCAGATTAGAACGTAAGGGATCGTGAATTGGGGACAAAAAGAGAGAGAAAATCTGGAAAAGAAGTGGCAGAGAAAGAGAGAGTACTACTAGTATGGAATATCGCGCGAAACTCAAGAAGAGATCAAAACGTCGTTGTTTTCCTCGAGTATTTGACAGTTGATACCTTGGTTTTGAAATTACAGTTACGTACGTGGTGCACAGTGAATGTGAATGGATAGAAAAAATATGTTATATGTCAGAAGCTCAGATCTTTCACGTGAAGAGTTTTTCATGGTGTCCCTTGGGAGTACGTCTTCCTTAATTTTAAAGTTAAATGGTGGAAGATGATTTATAATAGAGAAAAAATAGGCCCTTGAAACGGAATGGACGAATATATGTTCAAATGGGACTCATGTGGATCCTACTTTTAAGGACTGTTAGATGCTTTGGTTTAAATTTCGGGTCGCTGTTTTTCTGAGGGCTAACTTTTTTTCTTTTATAAAATTATGGCAAAAAAGAAGGAAAAATGAATAGAAAAGGATTAATGAGGCATTCTTAAAATTAAAAAAAATAAATAAATACAGTAAGTATTTTTTTCTCATTTTGTTTAGTTGAGGGAAATAAATAAATGAGATTTTGATTATTACTCTGTGACCTAATTAGTAATGTGCACAACTTTTTAAAATACTATGTCTGTGCGCTTGAACTCGTTTAAAGGAAATTTTTTATTGAAGAAGATAATATTATCTTTTTAAAGTATTAGCTAATGGTGCAATAAGACAAGAAGTCGCTAATGGTGCAATAAGACAAGAAGTCCAGAAACAAAGATATACTGATGATACACTAAATAAATTCAGAAACATCAAAAAGTGTTTTTGACAACAAGTTCTATTTTGTATTTTCGATTATGAAAAAGGCATAATATTATTATTATTTTTTTAGTAGGGGGAATTAATCATTTATTTCAAGACAAAAATATATTTAGTAATTAATTTATTGTAATTTGTGGTGGTATTATCGAGTAGTAAAAAGCCAAGCCATTAGAACCCATGTTTCATAAAAAATTTGTAAGTTACAAGGTTAAATTTTAAATAAAAAATTAGTGGGCCCAGCATGGGTCCAGGGCACGCTGGCTTTGTCCTTAGTTCATCCTTCTCTTCTCTCTAGCTCTCTGATTCCAAGTCAACGATTCCAAAAATTAAAGCTATGTTCCATCACTATTTCAAATAAATATCTTGGATTGTATTTTGTATTCCATTGATAAACCTACATCTATAAATCGTTAAAACGTCCTTATCGAATCTACCCTCAACTATAAATATCAAGCGTACACCTAAGGAATACAAGCTGAAAATAGAAGGCAATGGGCTCATACACATAAACGTCCCCACAGCCACCAATAACATATTAAATAAAAAATATGAACGCCATCTTATCTAAAATTAAAATATAAAATAGAATAAAATGTCACGCATCAACTAATTTCGTTGCACTTCTCATTTAAATGATGTATGTGTTGTGAGTACTCTAAAAAAAAATTAAAATAATTTCTTTGTTACAATTTCTCATATCAACTTAAAAATTTAATCTATTAGGATTAACACTCAATCTTATATGCATGCCCAACACCCTCTCCGTCGAGATCTAATATGAAATTAGAATCTATAATAGAATGTTATGTTATTCTACAAAACATGATGCAAGTTATTTTACAAATATTTAACCCAAAAATAAGTGAAAATGCGTGAATTCAATGTTAAATATAAATTAATATAAATTAAGTGATACACAACATTGCTTGATATTTATGAAAATTCTAACCTCATCTAAGCTTAGAAAACACCTTGCAGAGGAGCTTAAAACATTTTAGAATAAAACAAGATTCCCAAAATAATAATAGTACTAAAAATCAACTGGATTAATTTTGGGATTAACTTGATTTTCACAAAATAATCTTTGCTTGGCAATAATTATATAATTTGTATCTACCATGTCATACAAACAAAAATTTCACTCATAAAATATAGGGATAATTTAAAAAATAGTAAGTATTTTTTACACTATTTAAAATACCATAAATACAAAAAAGAAACTAAGTATAAAACATTTTAACAAAAATAATTACAAATACTAGATTCATACACCAAAGGTCCAAAATGCCCCTTAACCTTTAAAATATTTTCATCCATCTCCACTTCCCCATTCATCCATCTCCTCTTCCCCCACTTCATCCCCTCCACTCTTACCGTGCAGAATTTCTTCTGATGACCATCGCACGTCGTCATCCACTCCACCGGTCAACGACCACATGCACTTTCGGCGAACATATCGTCACACCATTACCATCACAAACCCTTACCCCGCCACCATGGCAAACAGTCCTCGAACAAAAGTTCGAGAGCCACTAGAAGTATCGAGAGAGCCTTAGATGCGTTATTAATCGCATTCAAGAAATCGCTCGTGTATAGATGCTAAAGAATCGTTAGGTAATTATTGATCGATCTAAGTCACATAATACGAGATCGAGAATTTAAAATTGGGTGAAAGTGAGAGCGTCATGAGAGTGTCTGTACATTTATTTTTATGTAATTATTTCACTTAATGCATTACGTCAAATTGGACTCAAAGAGTGCCCATATAATAGAAGTCTAACCAAAGGCCATATATTTTTTAATCCATATAATTGGGCATCCACACACCACAGGCCATTTATTTTATTTCAGTTCATAACTAAACCCAACTCAAAGTTCCAAACCAGTCCAACCCAGTTATGTTTATACAATGTTATGCTTTTAAAAAAGGGAAAATTTCTTATTAGTCCTACTTTTGAAGCTTAAAGACAATCAAGTCCTAAAAAAGAATTTTAAAGACAAATAAGTCCTACTTTTGCAATTTATTTCCAAATATGTTCAAATTTATTTTGTTTTTCAGCATTACCCTTGTTATTAATTTTTTTTTTATTTTTTCCTTCCGGTCACTTCTCTCTCCTCTCTGAACTGGCCTTCAGCCTCTCGTCTTGTGCCACCATGAGTTTCGTCTAGAATTTATGATGTAATTTTGCAAGAGGAGTATTGCAAAGCAAAGAGAGAAATATCACCACCAAGGATGCAATTGTCGAAAGACATACCACGCGGAAGAGAAATTGCTAGTGCGAGGGAGAGCTGAAAGCTTGTTGTCCAGGTTTGATGAAACCAGAAAGGGAACTCTCCAATCCTATAAGCGTCCACAGTAACATAATTCATTATCTCAACAGCCGGGTGCGTCATCTTGGCAGCATTAGATAACCTCAATTGCTTCTTATAAATGGCTGCTGTGAGCAAAGACCTCACTTTTACACCGATCAGTCTGCTTCGGGAATAGCACTGCCTTTGTGATACAGATTCTATGCTCTTTGCCAAGGAAAGTGATCTAGCCAATACAGAACCCTCATATGGCCAAGAAAAGTGATGATTTTTAGCATTGCAAAGAATCCAGACATGAAAATCTCTTTCCAGTGACAGACAATGCGCAAGCTTTTGGTTAGTCAATGGCCTTCCACGGAAAAGAATTCAATTTGGGATTGGATAACACACATTTCTGGAATCAAATAAGAGAGACGAGAGAGAGAAACAGAGAGGAGAGTGGAGTGATCCGGAAGAAAAAAAAGTATTTTGATAACAAGGGTAATGTTGGAAATTAAAATAACTTTGAACTGATTTGGAAATAAATTACAAAAGTAGGACTTATTTGTCCTATAATTTTTTTTTAGGACTTGATTATCCTTGGGCAAAAGTTGGACTAATAAGGAATTTTTCCTTTAAAAAAACATCCCTATGTCCAAATCTACTTACTATGCCCATAGTCCATTTTCATAAGCATAACCCTCATTCCTCGCTTCCTCATTTCACTAGATACGACCTAACCCAATCTCATTCAAGCAAAGCAACGGTGAGGCCCCTAACACTAAGCAAAAGAAAGGTTCATTCGCGTAGTTGATCAAAGACATCTAACTCAATCTTCAATTTCGGTGATGATACAGAAGCGAACGAAGCCTTCGGTCAATCAATTCGGTGATGAAGCAATTATAGATGTTTAATTGAAGAGAAACTGTCATTCGCATCAGTTAATCAAAGACTTTTGTGAATGTTTAAATCAATCCTCAATTCCGTCGATGATGCAAACGAAGCCTCCGATCTATTAGTTCGATGATGAAAAAATTGTAGACATCTAAGCAGTAACGGAGTCAGGATTTCAAGTGAGGGGGGCGCACTGTCAAAAAATAATAATAATAATACGGAGTACATATATATATATATATAACAACTATAAAATTTAAAAAGACAAAGAAGAAGAAAATTATTAAAATATAAAAAGAAAATAAAAATGAAAAACTTTAATGGAAAATAGTTAAAAAGTTTCAATTGAGGAAGAAAAATTTAACTTTTTCTATTAAGTAAATTTAAGGAATGTAAAGAGTAAAAGAGAAAATAAAGAAAAAATAAGAATATAATTTTAAGAATTACAAATTTGAGGGGGCACTATATAAATTTTGTTATATATATGAATTTTTTTAAAAAAATTATCACATATATTACAAGTTGTTGGCCAATTCAGTAGAACACGTGCTCTCTAAGCCTTCATCGGCTCCATCCCTACATCTAAGTCAACCCTCAAGTTTGATAATGATACGAAGGCAAAGGGAAGCAAAGCCTAGCCTCCGATCGATTAATTTGGCGGCTCTGCAGCTGCATACACGCGAATTTGTGGGTCAAATATTGAATTCGCAAATTCAAAAACTGAGTTCACGAATTAAAAAAATCGAGTTCCCGAATTATACATGATTTAGCTCCCAACTTGCCGATCCACGTACGGAGCTTGGGAGCGTGAGCCTCACACGTGAATCGTGTGACTTAGGACCCGTTTGGCATGCGTTTTACTTTAGGCGTTTTGTTTTTGACTAAAACAGAAACAATGTTTTTACTATTGGAGTGTTTTGGCAAAAATCGGAAGCACGTTTGGGAACGATGTTTTATTGTGAAAATGTCGGAAACAGAAACATAAAAAACATGTTTGGTAAGCCATGCGTTTCAAGAATTTTAAAAACAAAATATGTTTGGTAACTCTAATTGTTGTTAAAAATAAATAAAACAGAAACAAAAAACATGTTTGGTTATCATTGCTTTTAATTTATTTTTATAAATTTTAAATATATTTATAAATTTATTTCTATATAAATAGTCTATATATTTTTAATAAATATATTGAAATTTGAATACACAACCACACACACACACACATATATATAACCAAAGTGTAATTACAGAAGTGTT